CCCGCGCCGCGATGCTGGAGGCTGCGGCCGGGTGCGGGATGCGCCCTGGGAGCCGTGACCCCCCGGCGCTCCCCCCGCCTGCTGCTCCAGCCACGTTCCCAGCTGCAGGAAGCAGGATTAACCCTGCAGCTGTTAAAATGCCCTGAGCCGCTTAAGCCCGGCCTGGCACCTCGTGCTGCTGCCCCAGGCCCGGGAGGGAGCCCCGTGCCCACCCCCGCACCCCGATAGCCCCCATCCTCCAACTGAGCCCCTGGGGAGCATGGGGGTCCCAGCACCTTCCCTATGCACCTTCCATGCTGCAGGATCTGCTGCTGGAGGGGGGTCTGTGCAGCCCTCCCRTGCCTCAGTTTCCCCAGTTGCTGCAGTGGGGCTGGGGATCATGCAGGGGGGTCACCCTGGGCCCAGCTGAGCTTTCCCCCCTGCCCGCCAACAGGCAGCTGCTTCCTGTGCCTGGTGGACGTGGTGCCCGTGAAGAATGAGGATGGGGCCGTCATCATGTTCATCCTGAACTTCGAGGTGGTGATGGAGAAGGAGCGGCCGGGCTCGCCCGACAGGGACACCAACCACTGGGTCACCCCCGCCAGCTGGTTCCCCGCAGGTAGGGCTGGCGCTGGGCACAGCGGGGCGGCTCCTTAGGGGCTGCTCCTGCAGAGCCGCTGCGGGCCTGGGCTGTTCGGCGCGGGGTCTTGGCTGCAGCCACGTGCGGCTACGGATGGGGCTGCCCCACAGCCAGAGCGCCCTCACGCCGGCCTCGCTCCCCAGGGCGCAGCAAGTCCTTCAAGCTGAAGCTGCCGGCGCTGCTGGCGCTGACGGGCAGCAAGCAGTCGCTGCCGCAGGAGCCGCCCGACGCCGTCATCGTGGACTTCTGCAAGCACAGCAGCGAGTCGGCGCCCGACGAGGCCACCTCGTCCCTGGAGACCAGCTGCCCGGGCGGCTCCCAGCCCGAGGACCAGAAGGCGCTGATGGACCTGGAGGAGGGCGAGGACGAGGGGCGCGTGGAGCCGCCCGTGACGCACTCGTCGCCCCGCGCCGAGCGCCTCGCGCCRCGCGCCTCCTTCTCCAACCGCAGCCTGCCGCGGAGCCGCTCCCGCGAGAGCTTCCACAGCGTGCGCCGCGCCTCCTCCGTGGACGACATCGAGACCATGAAGGGCGAGGGCGACAAGCGCTGCCCCAACCGGCACGCCAGCACGGGCGCCGGCATGCAGCGCGGCTGCAGCACAGGTAGCGCGGTGCAGCGCGGYGCAGCGCGGCGGGCGCATGGGTTTCCAGCTGCACCCCGCAGCAGGAGTGCGCGGCACGGGGCCGGGCGCGTGGCCCGCGGCGCAGTCATTAGCGCTGCAGCTCGTTAGCGCTGCCTGCCCGCGTGTGCCGGCCGCGGCAGGAGGCTCCGTCCTGCCGCCGGCAGCTCGTTAAGGCAGGGCCGGTGCGCRGGGACGGCAGCAGGACGGCTCGGGGCGCCGTCACTGTCACGCTCCTCATCGCCCTAATGCTGCGCTGTGGCGTGGCGGCAGCGCTGTGGCCACCCCGTGCCAGGCGGGCATGGCCCAGGGCTCGTCGGCCCCGCTTTGCTCCCGCTTCCCGGCGCACGAGGCCGGGGGACGCGCGCGGGGCTGGGGCGATGCGGGAGCCAGGCGGTGCCAGCACCTGCCCTGTCCTGATCCTCTTAGCGACGCAGCGAGCGCGCAGCAATTGCCTTGTTACGGCCTGCTTCCCGCTAAGCGCTTTACGGGGGGGATAATTACATTACCGGTAAATGATATGAAGCGGGGGCTTCCCTGGGCAGCAGCACCCCGGGGTGCCGGGACCTGCTCCCACTCACGATGGTGGTCCGGGGGTGTCAGGGACCCCGAGCGGTGACGTGGCCTCCCCCTGCCCAGGGGCCATGAACAACGTGCGCAGCACCCTGCTGAACTCCACGTCCGACTCGGACCTCATGCGCTACCGGGCCATCAGCAAGATCCCCCAGATCACCCTCAACTTCGTGGACTTCAAGGCGGACGCGTTCCTGGCCGCGCCGTCCGGCGAGAAGGAGATCATCGCCCCCACCAAGCTGAAGGACCGCACGCACAACGTCACCGAGAAGGTCACCCAGGTAGGGCGGCGGGCCCGCAGAGCCCATGGGACACCCAGTGCTGCGGGGGCCACCCGGGGTCCCGCATGGTGCCAGGGGCTGCAGGGGGGCCCACGTGGCCAGAGCTGTGATGGTGACGCCGGGGACTGCAGGGTGATGGTGCTGGGGGGCCTGGTCGGTGATACTGGGGGCTGCAGGGTGATGGTGCTGGGGGTCCTGGTCGGTGACACCGGGGGCTGTGGGATGATGATGCTGAGGGTCCAGGTCGGTGATGCCAGGGGCTATCCGGTGATGGTGCTGATGGCTCTAGGATGGTGCCAGGGGCTGCAGGACGGAGCCCAGGACACAGCACGCGGAGGCCGGTGTGACGTGCAGGGTGTCACTGGCCATCCCGGCGCTGGGGTGGGTTGTTGTCCCCATCGTCACTGGCCGGKGGGCTCTACCCCAACCGCTGCAGAGGATCCCGCGTTGGCTGTGACGGGGCGCGGGGACATTGGGGACAGAGTGCGAGGCTGGGGCTGCCACGAGGGTGCAGCGGGGAGGCCAGCRGTGCGCGGGGCCGCGGCGGTGCCGCGTGCGGGGTGCCGGCCCGGCCACTGTCCCGGCGCCTAATCCTGCGCACGTTGTGTAACGGCCATCTGGCCCGGGGAGCAGGCGGCGGCGGCTGCTTAATTACAGCCTGATCCCGGCTCCTGCTAATGAAGTTAAAGCTGCCGCGGTCGCTGGGTGCAGGGAGGGCACGCGGGGGCCAGGGCTGCCCCGGGCCGGGKGCCACGGGCGCCGCTGCACGTGTGACAGCAGCAGCAGCAGCTTGGAGGGGAGTCCCCTGGCACAGGGAGCTGCTGGCCCTGCTGCTGGCACAGGGGGACCAGGACCCTCAGTGTCTGCAGGGCCAGGATCCCCCCTCTCCCATGTCGTGCAAGGCGCTGCCGCCCGCCCCGCTCCGATCCGAGTGCTAACGAGCCCAGCATCCTGATTGCTCCCGTGCTGTAATTAATCCGGAGGCCGCGGCGGCTGCTGCTGCGGCGCACGAGCGGCGGGCGGCTCTGAGCCTCCCTAATCCCCCAGTGCTGACAGCTGCTGCCGCCGCCCGCCGTGGGGACGCGGGGCCCGGGGGAGCTCTGCGCCCCTCACCGAGGCGCCGCGTCCCCGCGGGACCCCTGGCTCGGCAAGGGCAGCGCCAGGCAGCGGCCGCAGCCGGAATGYGACTGCGGCGGGAGCAGGGAGTGAGGATGAGGCTGCCCATGGTGCAGCCGYTGCATCGGGGCCGAGGTGCCCATGGTGCCCTCGGCCCTGGCTCRGGGCTGGGCGCTGCTGGGGGTGCTCATGGGCCGCAGCACCATGAATCATCCACGGTGACAGCATCAAAACCAGCCCGCCCCATGTGCACGCAGCTCCCGTCAAGGTCACCATGCTGCTGAGCCCACCGAGCCCCTCGGGGACACCCCGGCTCTTGGGGACCCCCGGCCCAGGTTGCCTGTGGAGCTGCTGGGGTCCCGGCAGTGCCAGCGCCTGCTCCAGCTGCACCAGAGCGGCTGTTTAATGTGCGGTGCTGGCCCCCTGCAGCACCGTGTTGCAGCTCTGGTCGCGGTGCCCACGGTGGCCAGGCTGGCGCGTGGGGCAGCTGGGGCTGGGCTGGGGCTGCTGCAGGCCCCGAAGCTCCGGGTGCAGGGAGGACGGGGAGCGGGAGCTCGGGAATACCCCAGCCTGGGGAACCCCAGGGTGCCGTCCTGCGGTCAGGGCTGCGAGGGGTGCTGGCCGCACGGCTGCAGGGGCTGCTGCTGGCGCATTGGGAATGCAGAGCGGGGCTCCCTGGCGGGCTGGGCGGCTGCCAGGGACACCCRGAGCTGCCGGGAATCGGCTGCAGCAGCCAAGCGGAGCCGGCGGWGCCGCCCGGGCTCGTCCCGTCCTGTGCCCGGAGCCACCTCCTCCTGATGAGGTCCCTGCGTGGGCGGCTGGCACCGGGTCTGCACCGAGCGCGTCTGCCCAAGGACGGGCTTTAGGACTCTAGGCTGGCTCCGATGGGGGCTGCGGGTGTCGGRCCAGAGCGGGGGGTGCGAGCCCGGACGCCTGGGCTCTTGCCGGAGGACGTGGAGCCGGGTTGTGCCCGGCGGGGTGGGAGCGCCCCCCCGCCCCGCGCCTCAGTTTTCCCGGGGGGGACACGGGAAGGCGGCCCGGGGGGCCG